GTAGTTTTCCTACGAGTTTGAAAAGTCTCTGTTTGCGAACCGAGAGGTTTGCGGCCCGAGCCGAAGGCGAGGTCCGTAACGAGGTTCGTAAAGGAGACTTTTCGAACGAGCATCGGAAAACTGCTTTTTCGCCCAAGGAAGTACCAGCCTTTCAAAACTACCCGAGAGCGAAAGACGGAGATTGAAATAAATAAATAAAAAAATAAAATAATTTAAAAAACGAGTTTTTTTATAAAAAAAACCTCATTGAAGCTTCGCTTTTTCCATGGGTCCCGTGACCCATAGTTTTTTTCTTTACGTTAATATCTTGTGTTGCTTGTTATTAAGACTACTAATTTCTCAGAGCTGACTATCAGCTGCTTCTCTTTACAATATTTCAACAGATTATCCTATTTTCATTACAAGTCCAGGGGATTTTCCGCCAAATTGGTGAGGTCATCAGCGAACAATTGTAAATCCATAGAATTCTGGATTTTGGTATACCCCTCTTTCACGAAAAAATGTGGTGCATTATGCAATAAGATAGCGAAGAGGGCCGAAAGAGTCCCTTTGAAGCACTCCCTTGGTTATCTCGATGTTGTTGGATAAAATTTTCCTTCGTCCAGTCTAATTTTCTTCTCGACTCCATTATACAAGCTTCTGAGCACTCTAATGTAATTAACACTGACTCCAGCATTGTACAGGAAACTCCAGAGGGCCAAGTACACCACAGAATCAAAAGCTTGGCGAAAGTCAATAAATGCATATAGCTTGCCTTTTGGTTTGGATGGCGATAAGCATAGCTCTCTTTTCCAATTCTAACTCGCAGTGTAAAAATGTTATTATCTTACGATCTTCCGCGACTGAATTCAGACTGACATTCGGGCAGAATATCATTATTTTCGCACCAGCCATGTTGCCAAAATAGTTGTAAATAATTTAGCGGTTGAGTTGGCTAAGGCGGCACACAGTGGAAAAAAGGCTTTTTTTTGTTCAAAAATCTGCTGACACCACAATTTTCGACGTAATTCTTCCATTTTCTCTTATAGGCTCCTTAGATTTCAAGCTTTAGTGAGTCACTGCCACTTATTCTCAAGAGTCCAAACCCTAACCTCAAAAAATCGGAAAATACAGAAAAAACAGATTTAAAAAAAAATTTTTCTGCGAAAATTAGTTTTCAGGGTTTTTTTAGGTCTCTGATCATGAATTTATTGTTTGTGTATACAGTTTTTAAATGGCGGATACAAAATGGCGGCCAAAAACTAAAAATTCTGATTTATTTTACGTTTTTTTGTATAAATTACTACAAACGATCTTTTTCGTCTCTGATTACGAACTTATTTCTTTTATTATGTAACAAGCTTTAGTGTGTCAATGCCATTTTTCCTCAAAAGTCAAAACCATAACCTCAAAAAATCGGGAAACACAGAAGAAACAGATCAAACGAAAAATATTTTTACAAAAATCAGTTTCTAGGGGCTTTTCAGGTCTCTAATCAAGAATTTTTTGTTTGTATATTCAATTTGAAGATGGCGGATACAACATGGCCACCAAAAATTAAAAGTTTTGCTTTATTTTGCTTTGCCCCATATAAATAAGTACACAATTTTTTCAATCTGAAAAATACTACATCTCAATCAAAAAT